TGTATTAATTGTAAATTGGGACTTCTAATCAGTTCAAAGGTTTTTAAACATGTCTTAGACCAGAAATTGTGGTCCCAGCTGATTGATAGATCTGCCTCCCATTTTGCAATAGGAAGGGATATTGATCCATCCATTTTGGAAAGTGTCCTGTATATTTTAGACAGTAATTTGGGGGTTTTGAGATTAAGGAATTCTGCCACACTTGGTGGTATTTGTAGTTTGACTTGATTAGACTTGAATTTCCTTTTTACTATAGATTTAACTTGTTGACAAAGTCGGCTTTTCCTACTGAGGCAGCTCAGGTCCTTTAATGTTTGTAGGAAAATGCTGACTATGTTCTATCACTCTGTGGTAGAGAGTGTCGTGTTCTTTGCAGCTGTGTGCTGGAGCAGTGGGTTGAAGACAGCTGATGCCAACAGGCTGAACAAGCTACCTGTAGTTAAAAAGGCTGGTTCTGTCCTGGGTGTCAGACTGGAGAACTTGGTAGAGGTGTCTGAGAGGAGAATGCTGAAAAAGCTTCTTTGTATTATGGACAACCCCTCTCACCCCATGCACGCCTCCATGATGGACCATAGAAGCACACGCAGCAAAAGACTGATTGCCTCTAAATGCAGAACTGACCGCCACAGGAAATCCTTCGTACCGGTGGCAATAAGACTGTACAACTCCTCCTCACTCTGTAGGTGATTTCCCAAGGACTAATAACAAGCTCAATGTTTGTTTTTCTTCTCACCATCATATGCTATCATATGCATCATATTCTGCACAATATTAGGACACTTTAAAATCACCACAGATAAGCTATTTATTTTTCTCAGGATACATACATCGTTACTACTTCGAGCCACTTGATATTATTTTTGCACTATCCTATTGTATATTATTGTAAACTAACATTCTTATTGTATATATTGTATTTCTTATTTCTTAGATATATATATTCCTATTTCTTATATTGTATGTATATCTGTCTCTCTTACTGCACTGAGCATGTGTATGACAAAAGAATTTCCCTCGGGATAAATAAAGTTCTTCTTATCTTATCTTATCTTAAATCTCTATTACAATCTGGATTAAGTCCTTGAAGAAGGAATTTTTATGGTATTAAATGGCACAAATGTGCCAAACATAGCACACACTTAACTTGATGGACGAAAGCGGTACTGTAGCCAGGTATTTAATCAACTCAAAAAACACACTTTTTGCATGGAAGGTTTTCATAATTATGGTCCTTTCTGGCTATTTTAATAGTTTTAATAGTCTTTCAGCTTAATAACCCCTCTACCCAAGTTCTGATAACATAGATGATTTGTAATGAAAATGACTTATTCAATGCTGTAGGGTAGAAGCTGGTACATTCACAATGTGACTGACTTGAGTACAAATTATACACACAATGATTCAGAAGTGTAAGAACATTCATTCCTAAAATTAGCTTCATATATCCACAAACCCTGCAAAGAAACTTTTATACCTTGTTTAGAGAATGCACCTTGATGGCACATGGTCATGAGTGTATCTTTAATTTCTTATGTCGAGGCAGAACACAACGTGATATGCGTTATTCTACTGGCTATACCAAATAAAACCTAATTGTTGGAAAAATCGAGGTTATTTTACAAATATTTGGTGTATATGTAAAATATACACTGGCTATAGCAATGGAAACCAAAAACGCAAGGAAAATAGTGGCGTTAATGCTGTTGTCCTAACTTCAAGAGATGGATCAATGTACGAAACGTATTCATTAAATTAATATTATACACATACAATTATATTATACATATAATATAATATAATGTAATATAATATAATAAAGTATTATCAATAAACCTGCAAGACCAGCAAGATAAATTACCAACATTCCCACACCCGCGCATAAATTCAAAAGCTTTTAAATCAGCTGCTTTGCTGGAGACCCACGACACTTGAACCTTATAGACATAAATGATAATTATTAAGCCATTATAAAAGGCTCTTCTATGCTATGCTTATAAACGAATTTACTGGATAATAAGACGGTCAGTGTATTTTACTAACTTTGGTTTTGGTTGTACTACGTTTAGTTAAAAATGTATTTAGAACAATTTGAAATGTGTTCTATATTGCGCGTGAGCAAGGCAAGATGCATAACCGAAAAGGTCCCTGCTGAACAAAAACGATTGCATTTTTTTCTTGTACAAAATTAGACAACAAATGTATGGATGTTACGGGATTTAAAACGATTATCAGTAACTCACCGAACATTAAAAACAACAAACATGTCACGAGGTGAATTTTCATCTTGGTTTCTTTTTTTCCACTTCGGAACTTGTCGCCAATTTTCGGATGTAAACGCCACGGCGGCATTTAAAAAATACCGTTCTTCTTAAGAAATACGATAGCTGAAAGCGCTTGAATTTTGTACTACATGCGCACGTTGCAAGAGTTCACATTAACGCAAACGTCATTCTGCATGCAGAAACGTATTGTGGGCTGGGAGCACAGCGCGGAAGTGCCGCATGTGTGGAGAGGGGACAGCGATCAACTGCCACAGGTATGCGGGGGAGCAGTACCGTCAACAACTGGCTGTCGTTAAGCCTTTACATGTTTAATATTAGGGGAGTAAGCAAAAACGCAAACACTACTAAGGCAGGATGAGTAAACGTTAATATATTCGTTTAATCTATTTCGCGTAAATCAGGGTATCCATGACGTCAGAATTACACGATTTTTCATTTTTATTGAACAGCTTAGTGTGCGACTTTGTTGCATGTCATTTATATATCTAGGCCGAGATACGAAGCGCACTAATTGTAATATAAAGCGAAACATATTTAAAAGTACGATCGAAGTCCATTTAACAAAGATGGAGGGATATTCATAACCTCAAATAAACACAAGAATTTTCAGTGTCTATGTAAAGCAATTCATTTTTTTTTTTTAGTCTTGTGCCAGCGGAGGAGTCGCAAGTCCCCATCATCTGTGTCATTCTCAGTATAGGGTGCTATAATTTAATTTTCATTCAGATATTGCAAAACACTATATTATAAGGTTTATTCTGAAAGGGTAAACAGTTAATATATCTATACAATGACATTTGTTTTAAAATTCATTTTATACTGTAGGCCTACATTTTATACCATTTTCTTTGATGGGTTGTATAGGATCCCAAATGTCGCCTGGTTATTTTTGATATGCATTTTAAGTGATTACATAACAAACATGTAAAATGATCTATGCATTTCTTTAACTTATGAAGGTATTGAGGTATTACATAATGCACGTCTTTTGATACGTTCATTGCATTTTTCTTTACAATATTAAACATTTCAAATGTGTCCTTGGAATTGCTGTCCACCTTCTTTTATTGGGGTAGGGCCCAGTATTAACTTATGATATCATGGCCTTCTGCACCCAGTTCTTTTTACTTTAGAAGCCAATCTAACATTTATGCAGGGCTTATAGCTATTTAAAACTAAGAACAGGTATCAGGAATATGTGACCAATTTATAAACAATGCACACAATGTGAGAGAACACAAATTGTCACAGGGCATCCTGTCTAGGCTGGATGGATTCTTTCACAAAAATCATTTACATCTTGTCAATGTAGATACACAACTGCATGAGAAAATCCAGAAATAGTTAAACTCAAAAGTTTGACTCACGAAATCTACATTTTCCATGGATATTTCTTGCTGCTTCTGACTGACTCTAACAACAATTTGTCTTTCTACACAGCAAGATAGGAGTCCTTACATGACAATTCACAATTCACAGAGATTTGAAGTTCACTTTTGATGAGTTCAGTGCTGCATCTGTTTCTTGAGTCTGCCAATTTAATGGTCATCAGAGAAAAAATTCTCGCCACAAATGCATTTGAGCCTGGCACGCCGAGAATAAATGATACAATTTCTGAAAAACTGCCATCCTCTTCCCTCAAATGGATTTTGTGGCATCCTGTCTGGCATTGTCTTCTTCCTCCCGACTGACACAGAACTCTTTATATAGTTGGTACATATTGATAGTTTCTGTCATTTGGAGAGCTGTGACTACTTGCTCAAGATCACTGTAGGAAAGCTCCTCAAACAGGCCAATGTGTCTCAGCATCATCATCACATTCTCTTGTGAGAAATCAACCATTTGCCAATATATCCTACTACAGCATCCTAGAACTGCACAAAGTCTTTATTCACCGAAGACCTTTGTGATGGCAGTTGTTTGTCCATCAATTGTCTTGGTTGGTATCCAAAAAACTCTGTTGTTTCTACTGCAGCATTTTGAATGTAAATCTGGAGACTTCCCCATACATGTCAAGAATACAAAGTGTTATCTCTTCCAGTTTTTTCATGACATTGTCAGAAACACATCCCAAGTTTGGAAAAAACACCATTAAATTTCAACTGTGCATGTTTTCTCTTCATCCTCAAAAATCTTCCTCAGTGCCCAGGACAGGCCTCTTTAACTGACCGAAAATATAATGTAAGTGGCCAGCTCTGTAATAAATGATCAACAGCTGGAAGAAGTGAAAGACATCTTGTGCAAACATGTTGAAGTATTTCTCATCATTCAGTGTCAACAAACTGAAAATTTTTTTTGCAAATTCATAATGTTGATACTTACTATTCGTGCTGGCCAACAACCAGTAAACTGAGTGGTGTTTTCCAAAATTAATGTTAGAATTATCTGCTGAATATGACATGATATTCTCAATATCTAATTGGTACTTTTCAAGACAGCTCATAATTTTTCTGTTCCGTTTATTTGATACATCTGTGGCAAATGAGAAATAAACAGACTCACCTTTGGAGGCACACAGATGATCCAGTATATCATTTACAGTATTTGGTCCCAAGACATTCATAACAATCTCAGCTTTCGTTCTTCCCATGTGCATTTTCTTAACAGTATTTGAATCTTGAAATAGAGCACTATTAAGTTTGACAAGACAGTTAGAGATATAACTAAGTTCAAGTTTAATTGTATGATATACGCATGAGGCCTCACAAGTGGCAATTTTGTCAATTTCCTTTGTAGAAGTCATGAAGAATGTGCTGATGTTGCTGCCACCTTTGGCTAGTACTGCTTTCTTATGTGTCTCTGTGGAAGCATGCTCAGTCAGGTCATTTTCTCTCCCCCATGTCTAATAAGAAAACTTTGGCAGGTATTACCCAAGACATTTTGTTTTCCCACTGCTCATTATAGCTACACAGTCTTTTCTTTTTAGCTGGCCCTTCATCCTTCTTGATTTATTATTCTTAACTTAAAAGCACATGCACATTTGTGCGTGAACGTACAGTACACAGCTACTCCCTAAACACATATGCGTAGCAAATCTGACCCAAGATTAGCACACAGATATTTTTTTTATGTTGTCATGAGTTCTTTGGCAATGCATCCAGTTAGACCAGGGGTGGCCAATCTTATGCAGCAAAGGGCCGGTGTGTATGCAGATTTTCACTGTAGCTCCATAATTACATTACTAATTAGAGGACTGATTGGCTGAGGAGTCCTCACACCTGGGTTTGAACAGTTGACCCAAAGGTTACCCCAAAAACCTGCATACACACCAGCCCTTTGCGGATAAGAATGGCCACCGCTGAGCTAGACAGATGTGTACTACCCTCTAGTGGTGTATTCTGCCAGACTGACCTTTGGCATCAGTCATATTACAACCAGTGTTTCAAAGTCCTCTTATTATAATCAGCTTTGGTTTTTATTCTGAAGTCGCTTAAAATTTCATTGAGTTGTGGTTTTCCTCATATTATGTCTACAGTTGGCTGTGGTTAAGCTTAACATGTCCACCCTACACTGTGTGCACAATTATTAGGCAAGTGAGTATTTTGGCCATATCATCATTTTTATGCATATTTTCCAACTTCAAGCTGTATAAACTTGAGTGCTTATTGGATTTAAGCATATCAGGTGATGTGTATTTGCGTAATGAGCTACCTTCACTGCAACCTCTCCTCGGGGCGATTTGGAGAGGTTGGCAGATGGCATGAAGAGGCTGCTCCAGTTTAGGAGGGAGCCCGCGGCTAATGGCACTGCCACCTCTTCCCAGCAACTGTCGGCTGCATTACTGCCTGCAGCACGCCCCTCTACGGGAACTTACCTGGCTCTTAAAGGGGCCAGGTCAATAGGGGATGCCATTCCCCGGATCCCCAAGATCCTTAAAGGGGCAACACCTGCTGCAGAGATACCAGATGTTCCTGTCCAGCCTGTCTTGCCAGCACCACCTGTCCCGCCAGACTCGCCGACGCCACCTGTCCTGCCCGTCCCACCTGACTCGAATGGCACCACCTGTCCTGCCCGTCCCGCCTGACTCGCCGGCGCCACCTGTCTTGCCTGTACTGCCTGTTCCGGTGGCCGCTGCACAGCCCGGTGAGGCTCTGGCGCCCCCTGCTGGCCACGAGTTGGCCCTGCCTGATGCCGCCGCTATGCCCGCGGCCCTGCCTGATGCCGCCGCTACACCCGTGGCCCTGCCGCCTACCTCGCCCGTCTCGTCAGCACCCCCTGCTGGCCCGAGAGTTGGCAGTGCCTGCTGCAGTGCCCCCTGTTGGCCGAGAGTCGGCGGTGCCTGCTGCAGCGCCCTGGCCTGAGGCCTCCGCCTGCAACTACGCCCGAGGTCCCAGCGCCGCCTCCGCCTGCAGCTACGGCCGAGGTTGGGTCTCCACCCGAGGCTCCTGAGGTCCCTGCTCCGCTCGTCTTTGTTCTGCCCTTACAGGTGTCGCCTGCTGCAGCACTCACTGGCCTAGCCCCTCCTGCTGCTCCACCTGAGGACTCTGGTGAGGCCCCTGCTATCCTAGAGTTGGCAGCTCCTGTGGCGCCCCCTGCTGGCCTAGAGTTGGCGGCTCCTGCGGCGCCCTCTGCTAGCCTAGAGTCGACGGCTCCTGCGGCGCCCCCTGCTGGCCTAGAATCGGTGGCTACGCCTGAGTTCCCTGCTCCAGCTCCACCCACACCCAAGGTCGCGGCGCCACCTGCAGCTCTGCCCGTGCCCAATGCTCTGCCTGTGGCTCTGCCCGCTGCTACACCCGACGTGCTGGTGTCGCCTCCGCCCGCTGCTTCGCCCGAGGCGCCAGCTACAGCCCCGCCTCCTCCAACAGCTGAGGTCCAATCGTTTTCAGCCGGCTGAAGCTCCGCCTGCAACTCCGCCCGTCCTGCCTGTCTCACCAGCTCCGCCTGACCTGCCTGTCTCACCAGCTCTAGTCCCGCCTGTTCTACCTGTCCTGCCTGTCTGTACCGTTGCCCAGGTCATGCTGGAAGGGCCTGGCCGGCCAGTCCCGTTCGCTGCGCCCTCGGAGGCCCCTGCCATGCTGCTGCCCATTCTGGCTGCGCACGCGCATGACGCCTGCCAGCCTGCTGCCGCCGCGCACGACGCCAGCCAGCCTGCTGAAACCGCGCACAACGGCCACCAGCCTGCTGCCGCTGCGCCCAAGGTAGCTGCGCCTCCTCCGCCTGCCGCCACGCCTGAGGTAGCTGCGCCACCTCCGCCTGCCACCATGCCCGAGAAGG